TGGAAGGAGGAAAGGGTGAAGGGATCCCGGAGGGAGGTGCTAATTGGCAGGCTTGCCATGGACCCGGAAACGGTAAATGCAGGTATAGTCCGGGTGACCCCAGTTACTCAATACTCGAAGCTCTACCAGTTGGTATGGAGCTGTGCCGTTGCCCTGTGGGAAGAGGAGAGTGGGGTCAGGAAGGCCCAAGATCCCTTGGTGGACTCCCACAGCCCTTCTGCCCCAGGCTTCCATCAAAGACCAGTGGCTGAATTCAGCCCCAAGCTTATCCCTCAGCTTCTTATCAGAACCATAGGGACCTGGCTTCCACTGCAGCTACTTGCTAAGCCACAGCATCACCGTGGCTGGTGATCCAGCCCTGGAGATCACCAACATGCCTGGATCCCTGCTGTGGGACCAACTCTCCATACCTGAAAGGGGAAGGTCTGAATGGCCTCCCCAGCATTCTCATAGGTGAACTGACCCAGGGCCACCCCCTCCACCTGGGAATCTTCATTGAGACCCTGCACAGAAGGAAAAACAAGGGGAATAAATGGATGGACAAATGGATGGCTGGGAGTGCAGTGCACGAAAGGTCATGCTGTTAGGACAAGAATCCAAATCAGTCCATGGAGGGAAACATAGGGGAGGTGGCAAGGGGAGGAGCAGGCAGAGAAGGCGGGATATATTGGGCAGGGGAAAGAGGAGTAAACACAATCCACCTTGATGTTGCCTGCCTTGATCCCCTCACCTTCTAGCATCTCTCTCACTATCTCAATAGACAGAGCCTTTCCCCTCCAAGGCCTTGGCCTTCTTCTCAGCCTCTTCCCCAAAGCTGCTCAATGACTTGGGACAAACCCCTTCAAGCATGGGTGCCGCACTTTCTTCATCTGTATCGGGATTTGGGTCCTGAAGCATTCCTCTCCCCCTGCATATTTCACCTTCTCTTCTGGCTCCATCTTTTCTCCCAAATCCTCCTTACAATGGACATTTCATCTCTGCCCTGACCAGGTGACTGTGTAGGGAATGGTGATCCCTGTCCCTGCCCAACTCGTCCATGGGACACCTGGCCACTCAAGCAACTGGCTATGGTAAAGGACCCTAAGGCACATTGTAATCTTGGCTGTTCTTGCTGCTGTGGTTGTCTTTTCCTGGTTCCTCTTCAAGAAGAGGAGGAGGAACAGAAGGACTGGACTGGAAGAATCAAGAGACCATCCTCAATGTCCCATCTGTGCAATGGGCACATCCTTCCAACTTTTACCTCTAAATGCTGCTGCGGTCAAGAAAGCGCTTTCCATATTTCGAGAAAGGAGAGCTGCCAGGCTCAGGTACTCACCAAGATGACAAAGTCCTTGGGGGCACTGGTGATGTCGCTGTCTGGGGACAGGGCTTTGGGCACGTGCTCCAGAGTGACAGCGGTAAGGTGGATGAGGGCAGACAAGCGAACCCCAACAAAGCCCTGGGGGCCCCGGAATGCCCAGCAGTTGCCAGGGTAGACATTTGGCTGTGGGGGGAAGACAAATCAAGTGAAAGGTGGCAGCATGTGGAAGAGATTCAGATCCTGAGGCCCCTCTGCCTTGAGGTCCCAGCCCCCACAGAGGAGGGGAGAAATGGCAGGCAGAGAGCCAAGCTGGGGTACCTTTGTTCAGCCCTACCTGGAGGATGGCTCTTTGGTTCTGGATACGGTACCACAAGGTGATGCCAAACAGACTGACAATGGCCATCCTGGTGCCATAGGTTTCTGAGCTGCGGCTACTGAGGATGCTGGCCCCTGAAAGACCAACAGAGAGAGAAGGTGGAGGGGGCACCCAAGGGCTGGCAGGACACAGAGATGACTTAGGGCAGCCCTCAAGGCGAGGGGGTGCTGCCAGGACATCAGCCCTCCTAACTGCACGGGCCCGTAAAGTGCATCCTGATTTGTCAATTCTTCCTGTCTCATAATGGCTATCCTGATTTTCCAGTCCCTCTTGTCCCAAGCCCTCTGGTTTTCTGCAGGTCACCTACCTGAGGACTCCAGGGCGTAATCCACCTGCCCGATTCGATCTTCACTATACAGTTTCAGGGCCTGCTGCACCATCTCATGCACTTCCTAAAAGACAGGCATGTACCACTTGTGGGACGGGCCACCTGCAGGCCCCGCCCAGCTCATGTAGGGGATGGGCAAGCTTGCTAACTGCTTGACCTGGGCTTTCCCCTCCCTCCTGGCAGGCTCCTCTCAGGACGAACCCGTGACGCCAGGTAGGAGGACAGGCAGAAGGGCCAGGCTCACCTCCTTGGTCACCCCGGTGGTCACTCCTTCCTTTAGAAGGGTCAGCCTCAAGTCAGTAGCAATTTTGTTGACAGACTTGTCCTGCTCCTCTGCCACATGGTTCAGCAGTGTTTGCTCCAGGTCGTGAAGCTGGGCCTGCACGAGCTGTACAAGCCCAGCCTGAGTGCCCTGGTCTCCGAGATGGTATTTCTGCATCCAGGCTGGGACCTGAGACTCCATCTAGAAGCCAACAGAGGAAAGAATTCAGCAAACACCAGAGCAACAGCAGAAATGAGGAAGCAAGAGGACCTGGACAGGGGGCCTGGGGTGTCTAGAGTCACTCTGAGTTCTGGGAACAGCACGTGCCAGCTTGGTGCCAGGGAAGAGATGGTGAACCAAGTGACTGGCATTTCTCCACTGCTTTGAGGTCTGTAAATGAGGTCATCTCATTGGACCCGCTCGGGGCTGTTATTATCCCAATTGACAGATGAGGAACGTCCTGTCCATATCACAAAGTCCACTCAATAGGCCTACATCTTTGGGAAGCGCCCAATGGATGTGTGGCCTAACTGGGCAACTGGACGATTTACCTCGTTGCGCAGGGCCGCCATCTTCTCTGGCCAAAGGTGTAATTCTTTTTCCACCTCAGCCTGGCTCTGGCTCAAGGCCACCAGCTCCTGCCTCAGGCCAACCAGCTGGGCCTCTAGGGAATCCATCCCCTTTGGCCTTTTCTCCTCAAAGGCTTCTTGGGAAGAACTAGACAGGGACAAAAGGAAAGGTCAAAGTCAACCTGGAGAACACGCACTGGAGGATGGAGTAAAACAGAGGCCAGAAAATGGAACAATGTCTCCTGAAGAAAACCACGACTCAATGGAAAGGAGAGAGCCAGAGGCTTGGGTGCAAGTCTTTGCTGACATCTACTCCCTGGGAGAGCCTGGGCAGATCATTTCCCTCCCAGGCCTCAGTACCTTCATCTGTTCTCCAAGGTCAGCTTCAGTTTGGATTGATCCTATAGACCTGCTAACCTAAGTGTTCTGGCTCCAGTGACCCCTCTCTCCCCGGGAATCTCACTTGTGCTCTCTCTGCTCTAGCTTTCTACCCCTCTTCCCCTCCTTTTTTCTTTGCCAGGCAGTTTGGGGCCTTACCTGTGCCATTCAGATGTCTTCTGCACAACCTCACTTTCCAGCTCCTGGAAGGACAAAGAGGACACAGTGAGACCAAGGAAAACACCAACCTTTACCCAGAGAACCCTAGAGTGTCAACTAAAATAAATCAGTTAAAAGACTTCCT